TAGACTTTGCCTTAAAACCACTGGATTGTAATTGAATTTACCAATTCAACGCTTGTTTACTAGGCTGTTATGTTTTCATCTGGTTTCAGTAACACTGCGGTTAAAGGAGTTTTAAAAGGTTTAAAGCCTACTGAAACTCACAGTGATTTCTCAAACCTGCAGGGCCTTTTTAGTTTTGCTACTCATCGTATTGTTAAGCAGTTTTCTTAACATTTCCTTTGGAATAGATAGCAACATTTACAATGCACAAGAGTAGCAGAGGTCAATTTCTTTTTAGTTCCATTGCTTTTCAAAGATGTGCAAAGTGTAGCACTTCATGCAAACCAGATAAATTATGACTTAGCTCCCTGCATCTGCAGTCTCAGGAAATTCCTCACTCGATTGTAAAAATGTGATTATGCAAAATGTCTCGCTGCTAACAATGATTTGCATTAGGTTTAGCAAATACCTCCCTTAGATGGAGCTAAAATAGAATGGCACACTCAGACAAAGAGGCAGATCATGATGGAAAAGTGGAGTGAGTAGGTGTCAGTGGAAAACTCATCCTCCCCTCTCTCCTACCTAACTACCGTGAACATCCAGCCTCGCAGAGTGCCAAACATTATGACTATCAGGGGCCACTAAATGAAATCAGCAATTAGCTATTATGGTACAATTAAACAAAGTAGATGAACAGTTTTGATGCATATGGGAGAGTTAGTGTTGGCGGTGAAGCTGTTAGAAGCCGTCTATCTGTAACTCTTGACCAAAAAGCACAGCTATCATTTGCCACATTTTTGTGGTGATTGTTTAGCTTTTGAGTTTTCTCTTTCAAGCCGTAATGTGCTGCAAAAAAAATAGTGTTACTTCCATTTTTCTAAAACTGTTTGCTTAGATCTGTATACTGTTTTTGCAAGGATCAGGTATCTGGAATGCTGAATTGAATTGTCAAAAATGTTAAAGCATTTAGTTCAGTTGAGATGTGTTTACTGGTCTTTGAGAAGGATTTGATGTCTGTAATAATTTGCTTTAGCTCCCATGTTAGCTGATGTTATTTCCATAGTCACAGCCATGATAGACAGTGACTGTAGTTGGCAGCTAGCTGTCTGTGGACTCAGTGAGCTCTGCAGCAGGAGCCGCAGTGAGTGGCAGGGCCTAATGGGACCTGATCAGGAGCTTAGGTCACTGCCATCTCAAATACAGTCATGGCACAGCAGACATCAGCGCTGACTCACCTTAGATTAGATGCTGGAAGCATGGCTATAACACAGTCTGACACCTCAAAGCAAAGCCTCAGCCGCAGCATTTCAATTACCTACCTTTCCAGGCTGAGATGGAGCTGGATCTGGATCTGTGTGGACAACACAGTGCACTGCCTGGTGCGGAGGAATCTTACCAGGTCAGACTTCGCACTGGTTTTCAGACATATGCATCAATTGACGTGATAGCACTGTAGTTTTTTGTGACCCCAATTATTATTTTTACAAGATCGTTATCTGCACTAAACATGGAAGTAAAAGGGAAAGGCCACCAGCACTAGAGATATGTAGGTGATACGAAAGAATCTATAAGAGCTAAGTACTTAGGTCTCTATGTTGTGTTGTCTGACCACATCTAATGGCATAAGTGTATACACAAACTTGCTCAGGATGTCACACACTTAAAACTGGGACCAAGAAAGTGGGCGTTCACAGAGAAGGAGAAGTTGCAGTGAATCCTACAATCACACTTCCTGAACATGTTTAGTCATACAAATTAAGCCAATTCAGGAAGAACTAAAAGTGCTGTTAGTCATCCCTTTGACTTGTAGTTAAATGCTGCAGCCAAGAAAGTGCTCCTTATGCTGCTTCAATCAGAAGTTGTTTTTTTTAGCTTTGCACATTAAGTAGTGGGAAGCCACTAAGTGGTCATATAGCGTCTCCTGCTTGTTGCTTAGTCTGATTCTGTCCACATCCCCTCAAGCCAATAATGGTGGTATGAAGTCAAAATAAGGAAATGAAATAGTGTGTTTCTTAATGCAAAAGAGGTTTTGTACTATTTGTGCTAGTGTTGTTGTTGTTGTTGTTGAAAATGTATGACAAAAATAAATCATTTTTCTTAAAGTACCTAAATACAACCCATTTTTACATTTAACTGACAAAGTCTCCTGACTGCTGAGTCTTGTATGTTGAGAGCATAGGTGGAAGTAAGGTGATGAAGGCCCGATTGAGCCACACAACCTCAAAAGGAGCAAGTCAGAGTGGAATCCGGATGTACTAGCCAACAAAGCATGCAACTGTGGCACAGGAGACGAATGTATGCTGTAACTTTGTATCCTACCCATTGTTAATATCTGTTTCTTAACCTTGACAAAGTAGCTCTTTTTTTCAAATGACAAGACGTTTCCCTGATCTTCATATTGTTTTTATCCCAAGTTTCTCCCTAACCCTTTTGCAGTAGAATTTCCTAACCAAGTACTTTGTTGCCTAAGGAATAGTCTACAACAGTCAGTACTACTCGCTTTTCATTTACTACTGAAGTGAGAATTAGTGTTGGTTTCTTTTAACCATGACCATGATTATTCACTAGCCTTAAACAAGTTGTTCTTCTAACGATGGCAATGAAGTTCAGTCAGTCTGGAAAATATAAACAATGTTAAAAGTTTGCCCAAGTTAAAAAAAAAAAAAAAAACATAGAATCCTGATGAATCTGACTTTCATGAGCTCTGGTCCCAGAAATGTAGATTAAGAGTTCCCTCTCCTGCAGAGGACAAGTTCAGAAAATCAACAATTAACAACGCCTCAAACTAGAGCCCACATCTATGCTTCCCTGATTTCAAGCAACAGACACCTCTCAGTATCAACTGTTGGGGGAGGCTGTGTGAATCAGGTATCCATGGCCAAACTGCTGTTGAAGGAGGCCAAGAAGAAGAAGAAGAAAATGGCTTAAACCAAGAAGCACAATGAATTGGTGTTAGACCAATAAAAATCTGGATTTCTATATTTTGATCTCATGGGTTCAAAGCATTTTTGGATCTTTTGGATTTGGATTTGGATTTTTTGGACATGGTCAAAGGGCTGTTTGACAAAGAAGCAGAATAATGGAGTACTTCATCAGATGGCCTGGCCTCCTGGGATGAGTCGGATAGCAAAATGACGATCTACATGTTGTTATACATGTAAATGTGTTGTTTCGTAGTTGTAATGTCTTCAGTTTTGTTGTACACTATAGAAAACATTAACAATACAGACAAATTCTTGAATAAATAGATGCTTTCAAAATTTTCACCGTTATTGTATATTAGATTTGGACATTAACAAGTTTGGTGAAGTCACATATGTCCTTCATGATGTTTTAGGAATGCGTTACAGATTATTTTTCTTGTGTACAGTGAAGTGGTTATGTAGCTGTTAGTAAAGCAAATCTCACTGTACTGTACCTGTATACTGTTTTTATTCAATTTCCATTAAAAAGTGTAAAACCTGGGTATATTGTCTGATACTGAAGAAAACAGTTCAGTAGAAATGACTTGTTGAAAAAGCCTAATTCCTAACTGGATGTTTTTAATATCAAATATATTAAACCAACTATTGTTGTCATTTTATGGATGAAAATCCTTGGTGACATTTTGCCTAGCTTACAGTCAGACAGCAGTAGACCTGCTGCACAGTTGGGTATTTAAGGTCTCGGTCCTAACACTTTTATCTACAGCGTTTGCATACAAATCCACACATTTATTGCAACCCAAACATTTAGTGAGTGTGTGTGTGAGGCAGGCAGCTGCTGGAAGTAATAGGCTTTCTCTTTGTGGTGCAGAGGCCTGCTGGGCGCTGACCTCCATTTAGATGCCCAGAGAGAGAGATAAAGCCCTGTGATGAGGACTCCCCTCCAGCCCAGCCAGGTCACAGGCCTGCTGTCAGTCACAGCACACAACTCAATCTGACTCATTGTGTGTTGTGTGTGCATGCACGCGCGTACGCGTACACATTTGTGTGTGGCCTATGAGCTGCAGATACTGTGTCTGCACCTGTGTAATGCACTACAGTGAGCTTCAATAGCCTGGCTATGCCTTTGTAAGCTGATCTTGTGAAATTTTGTTTAGACTGTCAGAGAGCTTCTGATTCAGCTATATTTTCTTAACTGGTGGCACATTGTGATGTACCTGTACAGATGCGTGTTTTATTCTAGATTGTCCCTGTTATTGTTGATGTTATTCAAGGAAAGACAACAGCAACAACTATTACTCAAGTCAATTTCTCTCTGACTCTTCATGTTTTCGTGCAGCTCAACATGATATTGGATCAAAACTCCCATTTTACCTTTGACACGGCAAAACTAAATCATGGTTGTTTTCCCACACATTACCTCACTGCCTTTCTTTTCCTTTTTAAAATGGCCTTTCCTGATCACCCTTTTTAGATCCAACGCTCCAGGAATAAGCAGATGAAGGAGATTTTCCCAGAAGGCTTTGGAATCCACCATGCTGGGATGTTGCGGTCTGACCGTAACCTGATGGAGAGTATGTTCTCCAAAGGCCACCTCAAGGTGCTGGTCTGCACTGCTACCCTGGCCTGGGGAGTGAACCTGCCAGCCCATGCAGTTATCATCAAGGTCCTTGCTATTTAAATTTTATTTATTTCTCTCTGGCATTTTAATTGTCTTGATTTGTCTCTAGCTTTGTTTGTTTGTTTGTTTGTTTGTTTATTTAGTTATGTAGTTATTTAGTTAGTTAGTTAGTTAGTTAGTTAGTTAGCATTTATTTCTTTATTTAGCTCGTGTGTATATTCAATATTTTGTAAGCGAGGCCGGATTTCAGACAAAGCTACTGCCCTGGGGTTTCAGACCGTCAGGATCCCCAGTGACTCCAATTACTTTGTGGTCACCTCATTAATTGCAAGTTTGTTTCGTAATGAATACAACACTAAAGCAAAACATAAATTAAGTCTTTAATGGTCTTAAAATGGCTCCTAACTTTTTAGGCTCTCAGCAAACAGCTCAGCTAAAAAAGATATTTAGTATTTCTGAACGCATTTAAATGTGCTGCTTTTTATTTGCAGTAATGCATTCTGTTTTGTCTGTGTTTTAAGTCCTCTGATGCCACTTCCTTGTGTCTTAACAGGGCACTCAAATTTATGATGCCAAGCGCGGTACTCTGGTGGATCTGGGCATCCTGGACGTCATGCAGATTTTCGGACGTGCAGGTCGTCCACAATTTGACAAGTATGGCGAGGGCACCATCATCACCACCCATGACAAACTAAGTCATTACCTGACACTGCTCACCCAGCAGAATCCTATTGAGAGTCAGTTCCTGGACAGCCTGGCTGACAATCTAAACGCTGAGGTTAGTATCTCTGTGGGCACCCTGACCAAATAGGATTTCTTTATTGTTCCAATTTGGAAATTGCTTTTCTCATTTCAGAAAAACAAAGAGCCCACATTATATTCATTTACAAGTTCACAATTGTATGTAAACATATGTGTACATGCTTTTGTGTTCAAAAAACATATTCTTTTTTTTTCTACTCTACATTACAGCAGCACATATTCTCACCCTCTGTCCAAAACAATCCATTATAGCTCCTTTTTCTAAAGCCTCTCTCCCCAAAATCCTTGTGCGCTTTGATTGGTCAGTTGGCCCAGAAAAAGAAAGGGTTGGTTAGTTACTGCAACCCCAGATCTATGAGAATAGACAGAGAGATGTAGCCATAGCAGAAGCTGCCCTAGTGAGGACATGAGGGAGAACTATAAAGGTGCTGCTCATTCTTTGTTTGAGGTCATGCCAACAGTGTTACATGGTGACTTAAATAAGTAATGAAAGAAGAGTCTGGACATCAAACAAGGTGTTTCAGGGAGGTAAGGAGCAGGGTTTTCTCTAGAATAGAGTAACTCCCTCTGGTGTGGACGTTTTGCTTTGTATGTGTGTAGTCCTTTTAGATGCACAGAAATGCCAAACAGCATAGTACTGGCTCCATAATGGATTTCTTACCAAGCTTTTTTCGAAATGTTGGAACTTTAGGAATGAGGCAGTAAAGCAACGAATTGCCCGAAACTGCGGAAGACATGTGACTGTACTTTCATTAAGTGTCCACTAGATGGTAGCAGAGACCAATGATGCTTGTGAGTGTGTCTGAGTGTTTCTTCCTTCTCTCTTGTGCTGCAGATTGCTCTGGGGACAGTCACTAATGTGGAGGAGGCTGTGAAGTGGCTCAGTTATACTTACCTCTATGTCCGCATGAGGGCCAACCCACTGGCATATGGTATCAACCACAAGGCTTATCAGGTTGGTGGAACCTCTTATTATTCTGCTTGTCTTTCTTTCCAAAATCATAGAATGGGAGGAGTCACTCTTGTTTTTTGACAAGTTGGAAGTATGTGGTTTGCAATAAATATAATAAGGGTAACAAACATAAGTGTGAAGATGGTGACTTACTGTCTTACACTGCATTGTCCTACTAGACACTGCTAATACAGATGCAGTTGTGTCTTAATAACTTTGCAGTGAAGGGTGTGAATATTTGTTGCATTTGGTTTGAATTACATTTTTAAAAAGCTGTTGTAAAAGACAGATACAAGCGCAGTCTTAGACAGGCAGTATAAGGCATAACAAAAGAATCAGAGAATGTTAGTAACTTTTGTAAATATTTGAGTCCAATGCAGTGGAAAATAATCAATGGATTCAAACTAAAAACCTTTAACTGTTTTAGATGGATCCAGCTTTGGAGCTGTACAGGAAGGAGCTGGTGGTGGAGGCAGGCAGGAAGCTGGACAAGGCCAGGATGATCCGCTTCGAGGAGCGCACTGGCTACTTCGCCTCCACTGACCTGGGCAGGACTGCCAGCCACTTCTACATCAGATACAACACCATAGAGGTAGACTCACTCCTCCATCACGAACATCATAGAGATAGACTGAAAGAAATGCAGCTTAACCATGCAGGGTTTAACCACATCACTGCCATAGAAAATTTAAAAAATATATAGTGTGTGACTTAAGGAGAATCTGTGACAAAAAGAATCTGTCACAATGCAGCTTGAGCAGTAATCAAGAGGTCCAGTCCAGTCAAGTCAGACAGAATCCAGGAAATATGTTGCTGTATTGCCTCAGATTTTGTGAGTTTACTTATGTGTTATTTGTGACCCAAAACTAACTTCTGTAATATTTATGGCTGCATATTGAGAAGTTTACATGTTTTCTGGCCTGGGAATATTTCTAATAGAACAGAACAGAATAGAATAAAACAGAATTTCCTTTATTGTCATTGCACAGTATGAAGCAAGAAGTTGAGCAGCAATCCTGACAGTGTATTCACATGATCAGACATTTTCAAAAATACAATAAGAAATGTGAAAATATAACATCTAGTAGAAAAAAATAGATATATTTGTATGGTGTTTCTATGAAAACAGTGGAGTAGCTTATTCTTTTAAAGATAGCTTATTTGGTATATTAGGAATTATTGGTTACCACCGTCGCCTCACAGTTAGAAGATCCCTGGTCCGCATCCCAGCCTGGGATCTTTCTGTGTGGAGTTTGCATGTTCTCTCTGGGTTCTCCAGCTTCCTTCCACACAGTCCAAAAACATGCTGAGGGTAAATGGTGATTCTAAATTGTCCGTAGGTGTGAATGTGAGTGGATGGATGGATGGATGGATGGATGGATGGATGGTGTAACTGATGTTTCCTTTTCTGACATTGCACATTGCTAAACATTAACATAACAGTATGGCTTAAGTAGTGCAGAAATTACATACAAGGTGAAGTTGTATTTAAACCTGTAGTTTCACTGAATAAATGCATAAAGTAGTAGTTAAATTGCTAGTGGGCACTCAGTGTCTGTGGCCTTACCAAATTTCATCATTGTGGGAGTTATATTTCCAGAGATATTAAACCTGTTAAAACGGATTCATAGGTAACACATTTTTTGAGGATGACATTATAAAAAATGCATAGGTATGAAAACAAATAAAATTCTCAAAATTCAGCCAAGATATTTTATAGAACCTAATTCTGGATCGTAAACGACAAAAAACTAAAGTCTGAACAAAATCTGAGTTGGTGGAGCAACACTGCTATCTGAAATGACACAGACTGACCCAGAAGGTATCCACAGTAGCACTGGTCAGAATGGGACTGGTCGTCCTCCTAAAGTTACAATCATTATTTGTTGCTCAGAACAAAACTACATTAATAAACTAAACGTGCTAAAACATGTGCTACAAACTTGAAAAGAAGCCTGGTGAATGTCAGCAGTACATTTTTTGATCAGACAAGACCAAGGAGAACCGAGAATGTTTAGTATGAACCTGACCGTGACTACCACAGTGAATGCATGGTGCTGACAGTTAAGCATGGAACTGGGAGTGTGAAGGTATGAGGCTGCATGAATGCAAATTTGATGGGCATGTGACAGATGACACCTTGAATAAATAGAGATGAAAACGCAAAGTACCGAATATTAGATTTGTATCTCAGTAATGACAGATGTTCAGAACTTTATTGCGTTGAGTTCCTACTTTGGAAGCTGCATATATTATATAGTAAATCTCAACTGTTACATTTTTTTAACAGAACAAATAGCTTACTGTTCAACATAGAAGTGATGGAGTTAGCTGGTCAATTTAAGTAATATTAAACAGGGGTGTACTCACTTGCTGAATACTGTAGTTGAAAAGTGTGGAAAATTAGTTTGTATTCCATATCCTTATGTAGATATAATTTATCTGTTGTGAACAGAAGAAATTAATAAAAAAATAACTTTACTTATGGAATTTCATAGTCTGACACTGTATGCTTGAATACATTCACATGCCATCAAAATCTTGAAGACTGCAGAAATAATATAGCCATGTGCTGCAGGTTTTGTGCAAACGTGTCACACAGTGTAACGGAAACAGAGGAACCCCACAAATATAACAAGAAACCAAAATAAAAAGTAAATTTTTCAGTGAGTCATTTCATCAGTGAGTTCAGCCAAAGACTAAGACTGGCTGATGTGCAGCATCTATAAAGTAGATTAAAGTCAACATGCACTGTGCATAACCCTTTTGGTGCATAAAGAGAGTTCAATTTATCCATTTAAAATGCATTTAAGCAATGTATGGTTAACTCGTGTGTACCTCAAGCTACAGCTGTAAAAGTAAAATAAGTGTAAGGATATATGTATATAGTTCATATAATTTGCATTTTCTTTTAATTGTACTCACCTGTTGCTCAGTATCAGGAAATTGATACAAATAATGCTGCCCTCTGCAAAAAAAAAGAAACAAACTACTGTTTTGTTACCAAGAAGCATCTTTCTACAGTGGAAAGTCCAGCCACATACCCTTTTCTCTCAAGGTCAGCAATGTCTTTACAAAAATTAACAGAAAGGCACATTTTAGGGGGCATCACCCAGAAGCAGTGTGAAACAGTGTTTGCACTTTTCAGGGTGTGACTAAATTCTGCCTACCTGGACCCAGGATCCAAACCAAGCAAGAAAGATATAGGAAACAGTCGTCAAATTTTAAATTCCGTATTAAATACACATGTAGGTATTTCTGTTCTGCTGACCTGTGTCTGCGAGACAGAATTATGTGAGTATTCAGTATTTTATATATGCTGTATTGGAGCAATAAAACATTTAAAAGTTAGATTTGGAGTTCTACCTGTTATGCGAGTTTCTTAGCAAAAATTAGCAGGAGCACACATCTCAGAAGGACATCCACAGTATAGCGGTGTTTTATGTTTGCAAATTGTTTCGAGGTGTGCTTAAATACTCTCCACCTGACTTGGGATCAAAACCAAGAAATAAAGGTATTAAAATACGAAAAAAAGAAACAATAGGGCAACCAGCAACTTAAAGAAACTGACTGCACAAACAGTTTTGAGTTACCTGTACCTTGTATTCATAGAATTTATTTGCCCAGTGTGTCACAAAGCAGGTCTCTTTTATGTTTTAGAGATACTGTAACCTCAGACACAATGACTTGGCCTCAGCCAGAACTCCATTAATCACTCACATATCTCTTTCCTCCATTTGTGAAGACGTTCAACGAGCATTTCAACTCTCAGCGAACCGAGGCGGACATCCTCAGTATTGTGTCCAAGGCCGAAGAGTTTGAACAGCTCAAGGTGAGAGTTTATCAAGTAGTTATAAGCTACAACTGTGGCTGTCAAAGATTCATTCAAGTACTGACATCTCACCTATATCTCTGATCTTAACCCTACAATGTTTATTTTTAAAAAAACAACAACAACAAAAACAAACAAGTTATTCATTAAGTCTGCATTGCAGATATACCAACATTTGTTATGAACAGAAGTATATCATACAGGTGATGTGTGCTGGCAGGTCCGTGATGAGGAGATGGAAGAACTGGAGCAGATGTTGTGTAACTACTGTGAGCTGCCGGCTGCAGGCGGCGTGGAGAACGGCTACGGCAAAGTCAACATTTTGCTGCAGACCTACATCGGCAGAGGAGAGGTGGACAGCTTCTCCCTCATCTCAGACTTGTCATATGTGGCACAGGTGAGGGAAAAGGAACAACACATGCACATGCACTCTACAAGACAGACCAATATGTCTAGTGCTTAGAAGACAAATGCTCGGCTTTAAATTCATTATGTCAAATGACCTCAATTGAAAATTGAAATTACAGAAAATGAAATGCTCTTTTTTTATTTAAGCCCTGTAGCGGGGATTTTCAAACTTACTACTCAAAAGTCCACATCTTATTGTATTCAATTAGAGTTAAGGGATGATTGGCAATAACAAATAATTAATCAACTCTCAGTTAATTATTCAAAATCTGATCTTAATGAAAGAAATGGCATTGTTTGCCTGTAGCCAGTGCAGCAGTATGACCTCTGAACTCTGCTGCATGATTCATCACAAAGACCACGTTTCTTATGATGGGGCCAGCACAAACCAAGAGTCAACAACATGTTCCTTATAAATTATATTATTTACACAAGTTGTAGAAGTTGTGTACTGGAGAAACACTGTCTGTATTTGTGACATTTTTACATGAAGTCATCAGCAACAACCCACAATGCTCTCTTCAGCAGTTAACGTCACCATGACGATGATGTCATCAATAGGGAAATAAGCAACACTGACATCATATTTATGGGAAGAGAGTACTACTGTGAATATTCTCTTTCTCAGCTGTGTAATAAAGCTGTTAATAATTCATTGATTAATAGAAAATGTTTTTTTTTTTTTTTAAAAAAAAGAAAAGATTACACTTAACATTTTGAATTGATGACACAAGCTGTCAGCTGAGTCCAGACTGACTTGTTGTTTAGTCCGGATGCAGACCAGCAAGCAAGCAACACAACTGTGTACAGTAAAACAAAAAAATGCATAAGTAAAAATTAAAAATCAGATATGGAAATTATTATGTCTTGTACTATGGTGGAGCATTTGGGCATTTAAAAATTAGATCTGGAGTTCCACATCATTAAATTCTTATTCATGTAGTTTTCCAACTACAATTTGTTGTGTGTCTTTTAGATTTTACCACAGATGAATAAAAGCAAACAAAACAAAAGATAATCTAGAAGCAACCAAAAATGTAGAGCATTAAACATCTTGTCATAGTAGCATTAACTAGTTTAACAAGATGATGAGTTGGTCAAAAGCCCTCTGGCTGCCTAAGTATTCTGATACTGCATCTTTATCTACAAGTAGTTTAGTTTTGTTCTTTCTGCAGACTATCCTCCGGAGAATGTGTAAGTATGTGTTTAAGTGGAAATATGAATGTTAGTGCCGTAGGGGGCAATCCTTTCGATATAGAAATGGAAAGAATATAAATAATGTGTTTTTACTATATAATAAGAAAATCCTTCATTAATCCTGCAGTGAGGAACTTACAATAATGATGAACATACTTACGATGTTACTTCTAGTTGTTGTTCTGTTGGTCTGATCTCTCCTGATTTCAGCCCTTCCTGGTTCTGGCCAGACCTCTAACTCTCACCAAGTTATCAAACAGAGGACAACCAGATCTCAGTAGTATACCACCAGAGTGCATTCACCAAAAAATCCGATCACATTAACACCTGAGTAAATCAATCACAGCCTGACCAGACTTGAGCAGTCTATCAGCAAGCAACATTGTCATTTGACCTCTCCTCCAGAGCTGACATGGGCAATCCATCAGTGCACAGCTGTGACCAACCTGCACGTCTGAACTAAACCAGACCTTCTCTTGATCACACATGATTAATCACCTGTATGCAGCATGATGTACCCTACAGCTGCTGCAGGTTACTTGTGCTCTAGTACAAATGTGTTGCAGTTGTTTTTTTCCAACTACAAAGCTCAGTGTTAGAACTGTTGCTGTCATGGGGGGTGGGGGGGTGGATAAACTGTCTACAAGTGCCATAGTCCTAGGAGCAGTGTTTTAACTTGTTCTTCTGCTGCTGTTACTACTTCTTACAGAATGCTGCTCGGATTGTGAGGGCTTTGTTTGAGATTGCTCTGAGAAAGCGGTGGCCAGCCATGACCCACCGCCTGCTCACTCTCTGCAAAGTGATTGACAAGCGGCTGTGGGGCTTTGCCCACCCTCTCCGCCAGTTCCCCAACCTGAGCCATGTTGTACTAAACCGTTTAGAGGAGAAGAAGCTGTCTGTGGACAAACTGAAGGAAATGAGGAAGGATGAAATTGGTAAACAAAAACAAAACAACCTTCTCTGTGTATTTGTTTTCAAGCTGTAAAGAATACACAAGAACACACACATAGAATATCCAAGTGTAAATATGCTGTAAATGCTCAAATATGGTCAAGTCATATTGTCACAGTCAGCTCGACTTTGCTATTTTTGTCAGGCTACTGTCGGTGAAGTCAACACTTGAGCAAGTGTTTCACTTTAAAAGCCTACCAATGGCTGAGCAGATATAGTACCTCTTTTGAGGCTGTTATTGTGAAACTGCTGCAGAAAGTGTTGATTTTCACTGACAAACAGCAAAGTCAAAGCAACTACTTGCAACTTGCAACAGTATTTTTGTGAAAGAGACACACAGGAGCAGAGTGGTGAGTATGAGAGGATTCTGTTGTCTCTGTAGAAATGCTAAATACTAAAGCTAGCCAGCCCTGTTTTTTTTTTTTTAATATGATCTATTTCCCTATGAGGGATTTTGTGGAAATCTGTATGTACAACATTACATTTTCACGTAATCATGAACGCATGTTAATGCAATATGTGTTTTTCCCAGGTCACATGCTACACCACGTCAACATCGGGTTATCGGTCAAACAGTGTGTCCATCAGATTCCCTCAATCACAATGGAGGCTGGCATTCAGCCAATCACACGCACAGTCTTACGTGTTCGGCTAGTTGTCACGCCTGACTTTCGCTGGAATGACCAGGTAAATGACAAATACTGTAACATAAACCATGTTGCTCTTTCTTATATTTGAAGTAGCATCAAAACAGAAAACCTAAATTAATAAAAGTCATAAAATATGACACAGTTTTTGCTTTTATATATAGCATTCCCCATACACATTTATCTGGCTTCCAGTTTTCATCACATAAAGATAATTCCTTCATTCTGTTTAGTCATACAACAACAGCACAAAATTGCTATTGCATTAAATCCTAACACAGCTCTCAGTTTCAGGCTTGTGCTTGGAAACATGGGCCTTTTTTTTACACTGCAACATAATAATTCCTTACTGAATATGCATCTCCCTGCTTCATTTTGTCAACAAAGTTCAAACAATTATATTGTAAGAGGGTAAAGTTAGAAAAGTCAACACAATTAAAAAAATACTTTATGATCTGTTGTATGGTTGTGAGACTTTTAAATATTTTTGAAATATTTATTGCATATCGTGACAACCTCATTAAGCTGGTTGAGAGAACACAGAGTATGCAAAGCTGTAATCCAAGCAGAAGGTGGCCATTTTGAAATGTAAACATTTCTTTTTTGCACTTTTTTTGCTTGCTACATATTTCTATTTCATTGTTTTGATATTTTTAGTGCCTTCACCCTAAGTCGGCTGGGATAGGCTCCAGCCCCCCTGCGACCCTAGTGAGGATTAAGCGGTGTATAGATAATGGATGGATGGATGGATGATATTTTTAGTTTTGTTCCACACAGTAGAAAATAGTAGAAATTATGAAAAAAGAGAGGATCAAAATTCCATTACATAGAGAGATTGATAAATAAAAGGATCAATAATTTACTGCTCATGTCATGTAACTGGACACAATCTGGATTTGTTTCAGGTTGAAGTGCACATACTTGAACATGTACAAGCCAACTGTGACATACACGTGTTTAAGCACATGTGTGTATTGTCTTGAAGGCTTTAGCAGACGTGATCACGTGTTAGCGTGTTGCACTTTCACCATGAGGTCTATGGATTTTCCAGGATGACTGGGTCCATGCTTTTGCAAAAACACAGTCTTTGTATTTCTATCCTATTCTTTTTCTTCTATTGTGCTTATGCAGATGTACAGGAGTTAGCGTAAGAGAGAAAAAAATGAAAAGTTTTGACTACTGGAATACTATGGCACTCAGGGTTGGAGGAGTTCAAGAGACTTTAAACATACTGACATGGTTTCAGTGGCAGTGGAAAGTACTAGTTGTCCATACTCTAATGGCATCTGAGGTGATGAGTACTGATTCTGTCAGTGGTGTGACCTTGCATAGAGACACAGTATCATTCCTACAAGTTGTCACTGACGAACAAAGTTACGTTATTAGAAATCAAGAGCAGGATGCAAACTCTTCAGTGTAAAAGCCAAAGAAAGATGTGCAGTGAACCACATAAAAGGATGAATAACTGCTGCTATATTTTGAATGTCCTCAACTATTTTGGCCTGTCGAGGGTATACCCTACCTTTGGCCCAAATTTAGTGAGGTTTCAACTCCAGACCACATAAAGCCTCTGCAGGATATAGGTGATGGATGGCTATATCTATAGAAATAATGTCAAACCACTCCTGCTATACAAAACCACTGCATGAAACCTCACACAGCTAAATGCTACCCTGCTGCTGTTTCACTGTTGCCTCATCATCTCCTCAGAACTCGGCCACAAGTATTAATTGGCACAGCAATAAATGACTGTGATTGTGCAGATCAGCAGTAGAGAGGTGGATTACACTGAGAATCTGTCCTCTACAGTGGAAGAAGCTCCAAACTATTTAGAACCACATTATATATACATACATACATACATATATATATGCAGTTATGTTTCTAGCCATGGAATCTCCATCTGTCCTAGAGAGCCAGAATGCCTCCAGGCTTCACCAACATGTACCAACTTAGTGAGCAGAGAGGCCTGAGGGGATCATGGGAAGTCCAGAGTTTATCATGGAATCTGAGCACAATAGGAAGCTCACTGTAGCAGGGCTGAATATGAAGATGAATGTTTATGTCCGATTAGCGATGCATGCTCCAATCATGGGAGAGTGGTAATGGAACACTGGCTGGCTTAGCTCTGATCCGGCTGCAGAGCCGGGACACATGTACCGACACATGAGCCGCCTCCCCGATGGCACCCAGGAAACAGACCACACTGGCTCATTATGATGCATAGTGCTATAACTATACAAGTATTATTTAGTTTTTTCATACCAGGGTTACACTGCCACTGGCCTTTGGCTTATATTTTGTTTCTTGTGGTATTATTGTTTTTAAAATCACCTTTTTCCTGTCACCAAATTCCAAATATTTACTTTTAATCACCCAAAATGCAAAACCTGACAAGGTGGGAAGCAGGAATGCACACATGAAAAACATGAAGTACCCAGAAAAGAGTTTTTTTGGAGCTACATGTCAGGTAGGTTGTTCCAGTCATCTTGAGAACTTGCCACAGTCCTTCTGTGGATTGGACTGACTCCACGATGTTGAGATCAGGGCTCTGCGGGGGCTAGGCCATCTGTTGTTCATTCTTCTTGTCACAGACGAAAGTTTTTTGTGAATTCACGAAAGAACAACACAGAATGTACAATACATTTACAGTAGCAGAAACAGCTACAGGCTAAGTTCATTTTGTAGTCCTTCGGTGGAAGCCATCAGTGGTGTGCTGGTTGCAGAAGTACAAGCTAGTAGTAAGTTGTAATGAATGAGAACATTACAGTTAAAAAAAACAATAATTAAAATAATATATTCATATAGTAAACAAATAAATAAAGCAAAAACAGACAATCATAGTTCCAGTCTGTTGTAAAGAGTGTCTGAAAATGTGTTTTTCTCCATGGCTCAGGTGCATGGGTCAGTGGGTGAGCCTTGGTGGTTGTGGGTAGAAGATCCCATCAATGATCACATCTACCACTCCGAGTACTTCCTCCTGCAGAAGAAACAGGTTCGTTTTGTGACTTGAACCTCAGTTGACTTGGAAAAAAAGTGTTCCTGAAGAGTACACCATTTCTGATCTGTGTTCTTATTTTTTTGAGTGTGTTCCCCTTTCCAGGTGGTGACAGGAGAACCTCAACACATTGTATTCACTATTCCCATCTTTGAGCCATTGCCCTCCCAGTACTACATCAAGGCAGTGTCTGACCGCTGGCTCGGGGCCGAGGCCGTCTGTATCATCAACTTCCAGAACCTCATCTTACCTGAGAGACATCCACCACACACTGGTACACACACTCAGACACACTTTGCTGCCATGACAACAGGGCTTTTACTTAACCTGACTTGACCTTAAAATACTGAAAGTGATCTTGTGTAGATGCACGTCATTGTCCAATGTAAATTAAATTCTTAAGGCCAGCTTGCAGTGATGTGGACTGTCACTGAGCTGTCAATACAGAGTACCAGGTGTTTCAGCTCTAGTATGAACTGTTGGACTACAACTAATAAAAAGTCAGGCTTTCCATAGATTGATGGACGAAACACATTTTATCTAGAAAAAGTTACCTAATATTTTACTAAAATCAAATGTTGGCAAAAGCATCGGAACACTCTACCTAAAAATACTAAAACTATAAATTACTGTCACCTTTAAACAGAGCTAAGCACCACAGAATGGCTTAGCTGTTTTGAAGCTGCAAAGAGACATGAAAACTCCAAGTAGACAGGAGAACAAAAGCAAAGCCTCCTACTCATTCACTCCTGGGCACTAAAAAAGGAGCCATTATTTCTAACCATGTTGTCCCTCAGTGGGAGCAGACACAATTACAGCAGCAATCAGGGAAAATCCCCACATCACAGAGGAGATCATATCACAGGGGACTGTTTCAGCAGCATCTCCAGGCTGTCCTCACATGTCTCTTATATAAAAGTATCAGTTTGCCATATTCCGTTATACATATAAAAGTAAAACAAATCTGATATGTGATGTTAAATAATGGCACCCGAAGAACTAGAGATCACATCAACACATAAAGCCTTCACAAGTCCATCAGTCCATATTATCTTCAATTGTCATGTATTTGGTTTATTAGTGATAACTTTAAGCACTAATCAATATTTTTATAATAACAAAGGTCCATATGACTGTGTAATGTTATAGCTCCTTGTGAAAATCCCATTTAAAACTATGCTGTGTTTGTGTCAGACTGGGGTCCCACTAATTACCATTTTTTGACTTGTAGATGTCAGCTTTTGTCGCTGGAAAATTAAATGTTCGTGAAACATTCTGATTCACATCATTTTGCAGTTTAAGTTATATTTTGTTTTTATTTTATGTTTTTTTATGTTTTTAAGTGCCACACATTTTGCCTCAGAGGCTGATAGATTTAAAAAAAAAACAAAAAAAAACATAACTACAAGAGCTAAAAAAAAAAATAAAGAGAATATTACTCCAGCATTCTAGTTGTTTTTCCTTAATCTGCTGCAATCAAACAGCCCAAAGACAACAATATTTTAGGCCCCAGATTAGATTACATTACTATGGTAGAGAAATATGGAAAGACAAATTTGCATTTATGATTTAAAGAGAAACCAAGCATTGCTGAGTAACACAGAGGTGTTCCTTCGTATTGGATAACATGTTCAGTGTTATAACATACCTGCATCTGTATCCCCTGATACAAAATAACAATCAAAAACTAACTTTAAACTGGAAAGAACTAAATTTGAACCGAATCCACTTGGGCTACCAGTTGAATTCCTGTGTGCCCTTCTCATTTATACAGATTCATCATTATAGTTGATTTGCACAATATAAAAATCATCATCATAATCAATGAAGATTTTGGCAGTGGGCGTCAAGGTGGCTCGGTGGTTAGCACCGTGTCTCGCAGCTAGAAGGTCGCCGGTTCGCGTCCCGGTGAGGACACCTGGGATCTTTCTGCATGTTCTCCCTGTGCAGCGTGGGTTCTCTCCGGGTTCTCCGGGTTCCTCCCACAGTCCAGAAACATGTTGATGTTAATTGGTGATTCTAAATTGTCCATAGGTGTGAATGTGAGTGTGCTTGGTTGTCTGTCTCTATGTGTAGCCCTGTGATAGACTAGTGACCCTTCCCAGGGTGTCCCCTGCCTTCACCCTAAGTCAGCTGGAATAGGCTCAAGCCCCCTGTGACCCTAGTGAGGATTAAGCGGTGCATAGATAATAGATGGATGGATGGATTTTGTCAGTCACTAATATCTCTAATGTCAGCTGCATTTTTGTTGGTCTTGTTTTTTTTTCATGTATTATACAGCACTCCTTCTCAATGTTTATTATAGAAACTGTGGTCTTGATCATTTATGATACTTGGGGCCTAAATGTTTAAGTTGAAGATCTAAACAGTCTTCACTTTACCCATTTTATTCACTGGACAGCTTAATTTTAATTCACTTCTCCTATTTTTCTTTCCTTCTCAGAGCTACTCGACCTGCAACCATTGCCGGTGACAGCTCTGGGTAAACAGGAGTACGAGAGCCTGTACAAGTTCACTCACTTTAACCCCATCCAGACCCAGATCTTCCACACGCTCTACCACACTGACACCAATGTCCTGCTGGGGGCACCAACAGGCTCTGGAAAAACTATTGCAGCAGAAATGGCCATGTTCCGGGTCTTCAACGAGTATCCATCTTCTAAGGTTAGACGAGTGGGTTCGCTCTTTGTTACCGTTGAATATAAGGGGAGTTGTTGACAGAGTGTTCTGACTGGATGCTGTCTTTTTGATTGGTCAAAACTGTTATTAATTCACATAAGGCACATAAGAAAGAGAGAACCACCAGAAATGAAACTACAATCCACTCAGCTCTTTCGAAAAAGAAACAAAAAAACAGTCTTCATGAACTTGAAGTATATATTTGTGCATGAATGCAGAATTTGCCACTTAGTCATATACCTGCAAGAATTCACAAACCGTGTGGTCATAGTGATCCACTTCACAGCTCAATGTACCTACTGGAGCATTACTGGTGATTGTAATCTGTAATGCACAGCTAGAAGTGTGTGGTACAAATGGTTGTCATCAGCCAAGTCTATCCTGTAAACAGTAGTCAAATATAGTTGGCTTGGAGCTGATTTGTTGAGTAGATCTTAATTTTCATACCATACACTGGGTACCACTTGAGGGTCTGAATTTCACTAATGTCACATAAAATGCATTGTATTTCACTTTTTAAACAAAAGTGAAAACATCAAGCTATTAATTTCCAAATGATTAATTGTGTACTGAAAAAGTGTTAACAAAGCAAAATGTGTGTTTTACTTTTTCCATTCTTCAAAGTGGCCACCTTTTGCTTTGATATTAGCTCTTCATTTTCTCAACCGGCTTCATGAGGTTATCACCTGGATCTTTTCCAACAGTCTTGATGGAGTTCCCACATATGCTGAGCACTTGTTGGCTGCTTTTCCTTAACTCTGTGCTCCAACTCATCCCAAACCATCAAGTGACTGTGGAGGTCGCTGTCACTCTCCTTCTTAGTCAAAGAGCCCGTGATGTTTTTTTATGACTGCATATGAAAAAAAAATCCAATGTTCTTACGTTTTTTGAACTGACTGACCTTCATGTGTTAAAGTATTAATAGAGTGTAGTTTTACTTACTAATTATTGGGGCAGTTCCCATCATAGTATGAATTATTACAGTAATTGATCAGGGCTATTTACAGTTGACCAACACTACCACGCTGCAACACATCTGATGGTCTGGGGCACATTAGGGTCAGTTTGTGTCATTTCAAATAGTGGTTTTGCTCCACTGTCACACATTTTTCTCCGTTTTTTTATTTGTATCCGGGACACAAAACTATGTTCTACAAAATATTTTTGGCAGAATTTTGAGAATTTAAAATGTTTTCAAACCTGGGATTTTTGTAATTTCACCCTCATATGTTTTCTGAGAAATCCTGGTGTGGGTTCAGTATCTCCAGAAGTAAACTGCCTTGAGCTATTAAAATTGGTGATAACAGAGACAACACTGGCTCCAGAAAAGGCCACATTTGTAATTATTAGCCCTTCAGACAAGGGTACTATTGGGGGACCAGAAATTTCTCCGACTGGACTTTGATGTAATTCAGCCGAGGGTCTGTTTTATGCTATTTTAACATGCAAAAATGGTGATGTGGACTAATTCGTAGGACCACAAAAACTGGTGTGTCTTGAGGTCCATGCAATTGTCATTAAATGTGCAAAGTTACATGTTGCTTTCAATGCTGTCCTTATGTTAAAATGTAACACTATATGAGGCTTATATAGCTTTCTTGAATGTTCTTTTACATTGGGTTAGGGTTAGGGAACACTTAAGAGAAACTTCGCAACTGAGAAGCTGATGATAATTCAACACATATAATATGTGCAATGTGGTTCAGAGTAGATCAGCAGACTTTGCTGTTTTTGGAACACATGCACAATTAGAATAAGTTTGAGGAAACCTGGCAGTGCTTCTTTCATGAAATGTTTGTATTTGTTGCTGTGTCTTCAGGTGGTATATATCGCCCCTTTGAAAGCCCTGGTGAGAGAGAGGATCGAGGACTGGAAGATCAGAATTGAGGAGAAACTAGGAAAGAGGTGAGAGAAAACACACTTGACCCTAGCCAAGGGAGTTATATCACACAGTGGCAGAACGCAGTTATGTGGTTGTCAGCAGTTAGTTGGAACTAACTGCAGTCATAGGTTTCACAAAATCATGAAAATGTCTTGTTTGTGTTGATGTTACATTTTATGACATATGCAAATGAACTAATGGATCTAAGAAACGTTTCCTCATTCTTTCACACGTGAAGAGTCGTAGAGCTGACAGGTGACGTGACTCCAGACATGAGAGCTATAGCTCAGGCTGACCTCATCGTCACCACACCAGAGAAGTGGGATGGAGTGAGCAGAAGTTGGCAGAACCGAAGCTACGTTCAGAAAGTAGCCATTCTCATCATTGATGAGATCCACTTGCTGGGTAAGAGTCCACAAAACTTCCAGGATTGTGACATATTCTGTAAGCTATACAATCCCAGTCTCTTAATTTCAAAGGGCCAGGTTCATGTGTTTTTGTATCTGTAGTCTTTTTTAGATTGAACAACCTGAATATCAATTCATCATCTGCAAAATAAGTTTACCACTTCACATGAATTTTTGTCATGTTGCATTACTCCATAATGCACAAAGACATGTAGTTTATAACATGTATATAGATAGATAGATAGATAGATAGATAGATAGATAGATAGATAGATAGATAGATAGATAGATAGATAGATAGATAGATAGATAGATAGATGCATTTTACAATCTACCGAAACATTCTCATTGGGCTTTTCCATTGTGTCAATGTCCAGGCGAAGACAGAGGTCCAGTGTTAGAGGTCATTGTGTCCAGGACCAACTTCATCTCCTCTCACACTTCAAGAAGTGTTCGAGTCGTAGGTCTGTCTACAGCTCTGGCCAACGCTCGAGACCTTGGAGACTGGCTGGGAATTGGACAGGTTAGCACCCAAACATACACAGTATTAGTCATTTCTATGTGCTGCAATGTGGTTTCAAAATGCTTTGTCAGTGTGTTTTGTTACTTTTTGACCCCTTGTACTTTGTTCAGCTGGAGGAATCATCTTTATAAGCCGTCTTGTGACTGAGACTGGCTTTGTGAAACAAGAACACTGCTGCAGTGAAACCACAGACTTTGTCTAGCTCTGCGGATTTTTTTTTTTTTTTTTTTCTTGTGACTGAGACTGGCTTTGTGAAACAAGAACACTGCTGCAGTGAAACCACAGACTTTGTCTAGCTCTGCGTTTTTTTTTTTTTTTTTTTTTACAGTTCATTGGTTGCCTGTATCATCATGTCAGATTTAATGTTTACAATAATAACAGTTAAGATAAACAAATATTTTTGGCCGGGAGTTAATGTAGTTGTTTATCTTTGTAGTTGTCTGCAGTCTCTGTCTGGATACCATCTAACCATCAGCAGTGACTGTGGATGGATCACTTAATCTAGCTTGAAGCCGAGTCTTGCATTGAATTCTTCTAATAATTTGGCCAAGACATTTTTCTTGTGAAGGCCAGTAATGACAATTTACACACCATCATGAGGTTTTATGTAAACTGCAGCGTTTCCAGTGTGGAACAATGCATCTAAACTGTGCTTTGATACATTTGTTCCTATTTTCCATTCCAAACATCATATGCTTGTAATTTCCTTCTGCTTCCAAAGGCACTCTTTGTCTTTGCTTTGACCAGTATTTTAGCTGTCTATAGTCACTATTTAACCCATAAATCTGGTCATTTCCAAGCTCAAATGAACGTTAAAAATAAGTTAGGAAATATGTTTTTATTTTCATCTGCTATTTTTTTCTGATGAAAACAATTTTAAATAGTTTCCAGTAATACAATTGATTATATTATGTTTGTTAAGGGGGCTTCAAGGTGACTCGGTGGTTAGCAATATTGCCTCGCAACTAGAAGGTCACCTGTTCGTGTCCCGTTGAGGACGCCCGGGATTTTTCTGCATGGAGTTTGCATGTTCTCCCTGTGCAGTGTGGGTTCTCTCTGGGTTCTCCAGCTTCCTCCCACACAGTCCAAAAACGTGTTGAGGTTAATTGGTGATTCTAAATTGTCCGTAGGTTTGAATGTGAGTGTGCTTGGTTGTCTGTCTCTAAGTGTAGCCCTTTGATAGACAGGTGACCTGTCCAGGGTGTCCCCTGCCTTCGCTCTAGATGGAATCTGGATAGACTTCAGCCCCTCCACAACCCTAGTGAGGATTAAGCGGTGTATAGATAATGGATGGATAGATGTTTGTTCAGGACTGCTTTTTTTTTATTAATAGCATCTTTTTCACTCAAGCAATGTAGGTAAAGATACACTGTTTATTCAAGTGCCCAGTAATTACCCATGATACAAACAAAACTATTTTTAAAAAAAGCATCCTGCTTCATAGGGCAGCACACTGTGCTTTCCATTAGGAGGCATCCACAACAGCATTGCAAAGTCGGAGGCAGTTGGGTCTGGAGTGCGTTTCCTCATGATGTACTTCCATTTGAATTTTTTTTTCTTTAAACAATATATTCACCTGGAACTCTCCCAGACAATATATTGCATCCTACAGGCCTACGTTATGGCCACTAATTTTATTCAGCTTTATTGGTCTTTCCCAGCATGATGGGCTAAATGCTGCAGTATTCTTGGACTTTGGAGTGCTGACATTCATGCATTTGTTGAAATGTTTAAGAATTGAAAACATGTTGCAGTGGTATGGTGCTAAATTGTATCAAAAGTGACAGATTTTCAAACTGAATAGAATTAAGATCCAGATTAGGTTTTCAGTGTTCTCAACAGCACATTCAGTAGGTTGTACTTTTAACATTATATTAACGAAGCAGCTGTTCACTAACGGTTGTGAGTCATTTTGGCTGATGATTACACAGGGAGAGTTTCCTCCCTATCCATTGCTGTAGTGGTGGCATACTGTATATTTTTATACCACTAACAACAGCAAACATTCAAAACATGTTTTGACATTATGAAATGATTACAATGAGAAAAATATGTTTTCAGAAATTCCTGAATATTTCTCATTGAAGACTGCTATATTTCTGTTTGTACTATTTTGCTAACAGCCACTGAACCTTCTCATAGTGTGACTTCTACCAAAACCAAATCAGTCAGTGATTTTTTTTTTTTAACAATCTGATTCATGAGCAACTCAAAAACTAATTCTTCATCAGCAGCAATTTACTAAAAGCTGTAACCAAATACAGAACCATCACGTTACTTTGACAACAACAACAATAAACACCCAAGGTATGCATTTAAGGTTGATTGGCTTCATGGTTTGTCCTCTGGTACCCTCCATCTCCCCACACCCCCAGGGACAGGCTCTACACTTTTAGTCCCAATAAATATGTCACCATGTGTCACTATGTCCATCCATGTCTAACTGTCATGAATGTTGCAGCCTATGTGGGTAATAACTAAGTAATAACTTTGTGATTAATTGTAACTAATTTTGTTATTACTCTTTTAGGCCATTGCCACTGGTGAATATCATGAAATCCTTGTAATGTCTGTAGGAATTAATCACAATTTTGCATCATCTCACACACACATTTCAGAATATAGAATATTGTAGCTTGTTGTTTGCTCTGCTGCCAGAGCTGTAGGGAAACCAGATTGGCTGTCTGCTATCCACAGCTTTGACTGGTTGGCTGCTGTTTGGACTGAGCTGTTAGACTTGTTGCTTCTCAATCCATTATCCAAGCTTTTAAGATATCTGAAGACAAGCTTTGGCCTCAATATAACAGAATGCCAAACAATGCAGCACACACTTTACAACATCTTATCACTCACTTTGAGTTCACTTCTGTTCACACAATGGGCTGTAACACCTTATCACACAATAAACACAGGAGGCACATCACAGGCTAATCACTACACAGCAGACTCCAGCAGTGGCCTGCTGCTCCATCTCTCAGTGACAGTGACAGACATTTCACATTGCAGCCAGATGGGGCTTCATTTTGCCAGCTGCTCACATTAAATCTCTCTTTCTCTTCTTTTTTTCTCCCCACCCTCACCTCCCCTTCTCTGTCTAACAGGTGGGGTTGTTTAACTTCCGTCCGTCTGTGCGCCCCGTTCCACTGGAAGTTCACATTCATGGTTTCCCAGGACAACACTACTGCCCCCGTATGGCCAGCATGAACAAGCCCACCTTCCAAGGTACAACCCCACATCCACACAAACAAATTCTGCTGGCTGTAGATAAAGTTACTGCAGCAACTTTGCAGTGCTTTGCAAAAATGTCTCAAGGTAAAATTATTTGATCGTTTTAAGATCAATTCTTGCTTTCTTTTATGATCATGTAATGACAGTACAACATGCAGTCCCTCTGTTTATTTCAAATAAACTGAGGGGATTAAGACCTAGGAATCCAAAGTTATGTCATTTTAAACCTCATGTGCCAAAATATGTTCAGGTTTACTTGATACCTGAACACATACTACACTATGAAGATCCATATTTAATATTTGTTGAATAAAAAGGAATTTAAGACCTGAACAGGTCAAGATATTTCTCATTGACACAATTAACCTCAGATCACATAAGGAATACATATATTTGCATGGACCCTGCTATGATGGTCTTACATAGAACATTTCAGACAGTTTCTATAACCACAACAAAATTCCATAGAGCTTTATTGGTGTTGAAAGACTAGAAAGCACATCAAGAAGTAATTGTTGCACTCGATGACATGTTCCATCATTGCCATGAACAGAAACACTCTAGTTTATTTTGACTCAGTCCCACATACACCGTTTTGCTGCCCCCCCTAGAACTCACTTGAGCACCACATGTAGATTTTTTTTTTTTTTTCTGAAAATAGCCTAAATATTGTTTGCTCATCACAAAGAACCAATAAACTTGGCCTGAAAGGCACAAACAGGGTGTGGAAGTCAGAAAAATATTGCTCGATGAGCATTTTCATAAAATAAAGCACCTTTCTTATCATTCAAATGTCTGTGTTTGCATGTGCGTGTGCAAGCGTGCAAGCTGCATGCTTTGTACGGCCAGATTGAAACATTACATCATTACACCTAAAATATTTCTAAAACAGCTACTGGAGGAGTTGCACTATCTGATATCATTACACGGTATCTCTACAGCGATACGCAGTCACTCTCCAGCCAAGCCAGTGCTGATTTTTGTGTCATCACGAAGACAAACTCGTCTGACCGCCCTGGACCTCATTGCTTATCTGGCCACAGAGGACAACCCGAAACAGTGGCTTCACCAGGACGAGAGAGAGGTATGCTAACACTGTTTCTGCACAGGAGGAGCAGCATCACGTTATGTGCATTTTTATTGGGCAAACTGTATTTCTCAGTATTATTGTTACTGGTCAATCAAAAATGTTTTTGAACATGAAACCTAAAAATTTACAAAGGTAACCTGAGTTTTGTTTTTCTCAGAGGAAATCAAAGTGTGCAGAATTGTTAGGCAGCTGAATTACAAAAAATATTTTTCCCAACTCACTGTATATTTTATTTGAGTTTTTAGACAAAGTATAATGTTTTATTCACCAGTCTGCACTTACAGTATGAAGTCATGAAGTGCTTTAATTTGCACTCAATGCTTGACGTTTTACCATTTGGAACAGCAATGCGGAATTTCACTGAATTCACCTTTTTATACCCACATTTGAGCCGGCTCACTGGGCTTCTCTGAGAAGTCAGAAATGAATCAAGCGTAAAATTCAACCACTAAAAGATTTTTTTTTTTTTGTTCATGATTAACAATAATAATGATTATATTTTGGCATGAAAAATATCATTTCTATTAAAGAGCTTCTACATACTGGCACATTAACCATTACAGAAACATAAAAAATGATTTGGGTAATTATAGATGCTGTTAATTTAGGGCAGCTGTGGCCTTAACCTTACATTGGATGGTGGTCTAATAAATTTGTTAAGCACTGTATGTCTGGTTCTGCAGACACCAGACAACTTTTTGAACAAAAAATGATGCAAGTGGGGCCATTATAAAGTCCTGATTTTGCTTTTCTGAGCCCTTGAGATTCCTTGTCTTAGTGCAAATATACAGTGTCTTACAACATAGGCCCAGTTTCTCTCTGAGTGCGCAGCCGCCCCGGCCTCTGTGTGTGTTCCGCTGATATATGCTGATGCCTGCTGCTTCTCTGCACTGGCCTGTGTAGTAGCTCAGCTTCTTGCTGTTTGACAGACAGGCTTCTGGTGATAGCTACTTAACTCTCACCGGGGGTCACCCACCGCCCCAAATCCCCTCTCTGACCTGACAGCTCTTTCTTCCCTCTGCTGCTGCCTGCTCCTTCTCTCTGGGCAGGAGTTTCAATTGTATTTTTGTTTTTAGTCTCTGACTCATCATTACCTCATATCCAGTTATGGAATTGATTTGTTCAAACATTTGAAAGCTACTTTGCATTGAGTCACTGATTGTATTAGGAGATGTGAGGGAGGGATTGAAAGCGAAGTGCACTATTTATGTTCAAGCTTCAAAGATTAACTTTAAGTCTTTGACTGAATACTTAAAAAAATAAATATTTAATTGAAAATTTACAAATTTTATCCAAGACCCCTTCTGGTAAAAATCACATTTTTGCCTTGTTAACCTGTCCATTTTTATATGCTAGAAGATATATTATGAGCGAAACACAAGTCAACACTATGCCTCAGCATTTCCACCTTGAACCTTCAGTGTACCAATGACGGTATCAACTACATGTATTTCGACTTCTGATTTCGTTTTATATGTAATAAACTTGAGGAACCCATCTTATCAGTTTGTATGGTGGGAATTTTAGTGTTATTATTATTCTCCACATTTTGTTTCTATCTTAAGCAGAACGTGTATAGCTGAATAGCTTCAGTCCTACAGCTTTCCACTGTGTAGCATTAAGTAGTTTTACGGTGCCGGAGCAGAGTAATCGGTGAACTAGTGAGCTTGTCCTGCATGAGCAAGGAGGAGTGAGTAAAGAGAGAGGTAGGGGCTACAGAAATCTGCACATGCCAGAGGAAGCAACTGTATAGAGTTATATCTAAGCCATTTTAGGGTAGGAAGGAATTATTTTATGGGAAAACAAAACCCCAAAATATGTAACTTTGATACACAGAGATGACTATTTAGTGGTTAAGTCAATAACCAGAGAAGGACTTTTATCATTCTGTGTCCTGTGGGCATAATTGTATTTGTGCTGGTGTATAGGCTGTGCTACTGAAAACTGGATTTAATGTTACTTTATTCAGTCACTTAAATTATGTTTTGTTTTTGTTAAATGCAAAGAATAGAATTAATGAGAACAGAAGCCAGTTGTGTCTGTCTCTGTGTTCTGCTGCAGTTCTGCTCCACTGACTTTATTTTTGTTTCTGTGGCAACACTCAGGTTACACTTTTTTCCTCTAAAGCAGAAGCTGTTTCTGATGTCTGGAAGACATTAGATATGTATAGTACAAGACAAGATGCTCTAGTCCTGCTGGAATCAGAGGAGAGTCATGCAAATGAGCCACATGTCTGCAACTGAATAACTGATTTTGGATCTGTAGGTCCTGGCTCATGGCTTTTGATACTATACTTGTGTTTATAATAAAACATTTAGGGAACAGAAAGTAATAAAAACCATGCATGACATGCTGCAGTTTTGGAGTGTCAATGCTTTGGTGTGTCAGACTACAGTGTTGTCATTGTGCAGTACGTCTCTTAATCAGTTTGGAGTTAGATTTGTGTCTGTCATCGGTCGGTCATTGTATCCTGGATTGTCTGTAGATAGAGGACATCATCGCCACAGTGAGGGATTCCAACCTGAAGTTAACGCTGGCCTTTGGTATCGGCATGCATCATGCAGGCCTTCATGAGAGAGACAGGAAGACTGTTGAGGAGCTGTTTGTCAACTGTAAGATCCAGGTATGACTTCACACTGTACACCAGACATCTCCTGAATGCTTACCTACCCATAAACACAAATACCTACAAGTGATATAAGCTGTGATAATGTTGATGATATGTCAGTGGAAAGCTCTTATCATTCCTCCTTATTTTCTGGGGTGGTACATAAACAAGAAGAATTCCTGGACATCATGTGTGTATCCTGTGTTGTACAGAAGAATGCAGATGAAACCATTATCATTGTGATAGAGTTTCCTGTACATTTCCCTTTCTCACTTTAAGCTGTATTTTTACTTTGTTCTATTGTGTGTAAATGCTATATTTTGTTTATTCCTAATTTTTGCAACATTTGTCAAAATGCTTGCATTGGTAACAGGTTCTAATTGCCACTAGTACTCTGGCCTGGGGAGTCAACTTCCCTGCTCATCTAGTGGTTGTGAAGGGAACTGAGTACTATGATGGCAAATCCAGACGCTATGTGGACTACCCCATCACAGGTACAGAGACCACAGTCATTACGTATTTCCTCACTGGCACTTACAGTGCAGTTGTTTTTTGTTTGTTTGTTTGTTTTTCTGTTTGTTTTCAGAATGTTCAAGTTTACATTATAATTCTGTAATTTAAGCACTGAAATGTAGCTATATAATGAATTGTCCCCATAGTTCAATTTTATATCAAGACTCCTTCTTTTGCCATCATGACAATTATGTTAATCTCCTGGCTCAGTTTGATGTCTGACTTTTATATTACTAATTCTACTATAACTAACTAGTTTTATTAGTGTATCACTCCAGATGTATCTAACATTCAAAAACAGATGTATCAAAAGCAGTTGTATCTAAAGATGGAGTATGCCATTCTAGTCCAACATAGTTTTTTATTAAATTCAGTTCATATGACAGAATATCTCTTGGTTGAAGAGCTGTCTATTCTGTGTGCTGAAACAAAATCCTGTTGTCATACACATCCCTGGCCCTATAAATGAGAAACAAAGGACCTATACAGACTGATATACAAAACATTTATTCCTGCTTATTCCATGAATAAAAAATATGCTCTATATATCAACAGTCTTTCTCCAGAATCAAAGCCTCCACCTTAAAGTGGAAAACATCTCAATCAAGTCCTGGCAGCATAGTATCACCTTTCATAGCAGCTCATTCTGAGACCAGTGGAATGGAAAAACTGTGTTTTAATGGTGTGCTCTGCATGTAGATGTGCTGCAGATGATGGGGCGAGCAGGTCGTCCTCAGTTTGATGACCAGGGAAAAGCAGTTATTCTCGTCCATGACATCAAGAAGGATTTCTACAAGAAGTTCCTCTACGAGCCGTTCCCAGTTGAGTCCAGGTAACAGTCACACATCTGTTTTCTTTGTAATTAACATTCTTCTTATTATTGTCTGCCACATCAATGATGAGCAGCCCCAGTTATCAAACAGTGCATCGACCGAGCTCTAAATCGATGCCAGTATGAAGAAGATAGCATGCATCAAACATCTTTGCACCTACATGTGACTGTAAATATTGATGAATCCCATCTGTTGTATGTCTATCTACCTCACAAAGTACGGACTTCCATATTGCCTCATACAGCAAACATTGTCCCTTAGCAAATCCTGCTTGGCTAAATATACAGTAGATTTACTTGTGGAAACATAAGTCAGAATGATGTGAAAGACAGCTTTTACACATACCTTTAAATTACCTTTGTGCTCTGACAATTTCCCAAATATTCTGTAAGACAGTATCAGGCAGCTTACGTTTGAACACAGTTGTGTTGAATAAGAGCTGTAACCGAGGTGCAAGAAATGACAGATATCAGTTCTACAGGAGGGAGACAAAATTCTAGTTTCGTATCATTCATAGATTACCAAATATCAGCAGTAATTATTGACAAGAACTTCCTCATGATAAACCAGAAACTGAATCGCAACTGACTGACTGTTTTACTGTTTGCGTTTAGTTTAACAGTTGCAGTAAAACAAATTACTGACTTGACATTAGCAGCCTAATTAGAAACAGTGTTAGAGTTCATCATTAATGCAAAACGAATACAACGCAGTATCATCAACAGGATATATCAAGCCGTGCTCCTCTTGCTGGTCTGGCTCACAGAACTGTTCATGTCAAGCTATGGGTGTTGAATGACAGAGTAAGACAGAGAAAAATGTATTTTAATATAATGATGAACACAGAGGAGTCATAAAAAATCATTCTAAATTTTATTGCAAAAATATATCATATAACTATGGTAGCAAAACACCACCAGAGGAGCTCGTACTTTATTTTTGCTACCATGTGACAGACTTTTCAATTCATATCAAAAAAGCTACTGAGTCTAAATAAAACTTGGAATTAAAGTGTATGGTGAAGTTGGATGGCTTCAAAGTTATGCTAGCGTACTGTATGTGTGCGCAGAGTCTTAAAAACACATTAGGCACAGGATAAAAACATGATTATATACAAGCAAAGAGTTCATGCACACTTACTGTCCAAAGTAGTGCCTATGCATTTTTAATAACTGTTCTATCTGACATTTTTCTGTGACTGTGCTGGCACATTACTTCTTTGTTAAATGTTGTCTAAACACAAGCAGCCACATAAGAACTTCATCTAACTAAAATAACAGTAATCTAAAAATCGCATTATTATTTAAGTCATGAACAGTATGACTGGGAAACATAGGTGCAAAAGGTTTATGATTTCTATCCATAGATTTCATACTTAATGCTGGTGCTTTACAGTTTTTTTATGCTTGGCACTGGGGCTGCAACCATAAATTAATGTGTCAGTTATTTTCTCAAGATATTCATTTCATAATGTAGGACAGTGAAAGAACCACATTTTCATTGTAAAAAATGTTTTTTTTTGGTTTTGTTTTTTTAATGTATTCTTGCTGGAAACATGAATTAATCAGTTAATTGATTGATAAAAGTCAATTAATGAGCTATTTTTCTGTTGGTACAAATAATTGTGTTGTATCCCCAGTCTTCTCAGTGTGCTGTCAGACCATCTGAATGCTGAGATTGCTGCTGGAACCATCTCGTCCAAACAGGATGCCATGGACTACATCACCTGGACGTACTTCTTCAGACGGCTGGTGATGAACCCCAGGTTAGCAAAACCTGCTCACACCATATATCATTAGCAGCAGGAGCAGTTCATACATCAAAAGTAAAGCAAATACACATACATGCAAGCATTCTGAGCCTACTCTTACAACCTGGTTAGGAGTGCTGTGTTCTTCAGTCAAACATCTGCTGTGTAGACAGAGACCATTCCAGAACATTCCAGCCTGTTGGTATTTGCACGGCTGTCAGCCCACATTTACCATTGACTGACTGAGGCCGAGGCAGTAGGATTACACCAGTACAGGCCTATGAAACTCGATGCTGATCGTTTTGGATTCAAACTGGGATTTTGAGTCAGTATTTAGTGTCTGACAATGTTCAACAAAACAATGACAAGGATTTAGTGTTCCCTTTGGATTGTATTGGTGGAAAGTATCAGGGAGCTTTTAGGGTCTGCTTTTGGCTGCTCTACACTATGTACACACAACATCCTGGTTTTGAATTGGACCAGGACCAATGGTATCATTCCCTTGCTGTTCCTCTCCAGACTTTACTCTCTCTTGCCAGAAGTTGAAAAGGCATCAAAAATAGTTTCAGAGTGACAGCTACTACTGAGATCGAGGATAGGAGTACTACTGCAACAACTTACAATAAGCATGGATTCTAACATTATTAGTGTTCAGAACATTTGCATTTATACTGTATTCATTTTTGGTTTTCATAGTAGTGCTGTTGCTCAATCGTGCAGACAATCAGTTATTTGACCGATTTACAAAAATGCACTCTATTTGTGATTTTGTGTATTTCCACAATGTTGTTTAGATTCTTGACATAATCAGGGAATCTATTCCCATCCCACCAGCCATCCATTCCCACCTGCTCATTTGGTATCCACATCACAGGGGCAGCCAGTTCTGGGTTTTCCTGTCCTCCAACTTTTACATAGCTAGTAAGCCGTCAGAGAGTGGTTTCTAAAAGGCCTTCTGATCAGATGTCTGATCTTCTTCAGCGGGCATCTTCGAAGGCTAATAGTTCTACTCCCAACTTCGTCCATATGTCAGAGAATCTGAACTTGTCTAAAAGGGAAAAGCCCAAACATCCTGAAGAGGAAATACATTTCAGTTTCTTGTATTTGTGTTCTCATTTTAGTTTCCATTCCTCAACTCTCAAGATGATAGATGAGGGTTTAAACATCGATGAAGTGGTAAATCACAAACCTTTCCTTTAAGCTTTGCTCCCTCTTTACTGTGACAGGCAGGTGCAATGTCCATATTACTGTCTGTGCTACAGCAGTACACCTGATCTTATTGTTCCATCTTAATGCCATTTGATGAACAAGACTGCAGGATACATTACCTCCTTCAGTGAGCCACTCCTAGTGGCACGGGCAAATCTTGGAGAAATCTAACACCAACTAAGAACATGCTTTGCTTACATCTGAGCCTTCAAACAAAGTCTTACTCTGGTCGGACAAGGCCTGGATGGCTTGTTGCAATTTTTATTTATCCTGTGTTTCACACAGACAACAATACAAACATTCACACAAACATTTTTTAGACCACCATTTAATACTATTTTTTGTTTACTTAGCTCTGCTAAAAAAAAGTTTGGTCCAAATGTTCTAGATTTAGCTATTTTTTCTTTAATTATTCAAAAATGTTAAAAACTTAACCTAATATGGATTTTATAGCAATTTGGATTTGATACGAGGATCTGGTACTGGATTCAGATTTCGTATGATGCTGAGCAAAAGATGTAAATTGGACAAACAGTGTTTTTTATGTGATATTACTTACACTTACAGTTGACAGTAAGTTAGACCCACAGGCCTTCCATTAAATCAAACAATCAAAACCATTTGGTTCCAGTATGACAAGCATATTTTGCCTTTATTGCAGGCTCTTTAATCAACATTTGTATATTGGCACCCTTAAATTCAACTTTTTATTCCATGAATGATGACAGTCCATCTCTTAAATATTGCCTCTGACATCCCCTGACACTGTTATTTCCATGCAGCTGTGTTTTACAACTCACCAGCAAATCTATCACCACTGCTTTCAGGCTTTGATTCCCACGACACATACACACAAACACACACACCGAGTCCCATGGGTATCATAAACTGCTGACTCCATGTGCCATCAGGAGCCTAATGGTGATGATGCTAATGACCATGACTTAATCAGACAGGCCCTGCCACCAGTAAAGACCTGTGAAATGTGTTCGGTAATAAACACATTCAGTGGACAGAACAGTGCGCTGTTAACATGTGAAGCAATGGGAATGAAAGAAATACTTAACATTAAACACGCATTAAATATGGTCATTACACATCTCAACTGCTTTGTCCAGGCCTCGTATGAGGCTGTGATTTCTCTTCCCTCTTCCAACTGCACTATAAATGATTTTGTATGATAATCATGAAGATGTCATTTGTTTAATGCAATATGAGAAGTGGGTGATTTTTTCAGAGTGGGCCTTGATTTACATGATTTATGCAGACAGTTCTAAAATTGCCTTCATCTAATATGCCTCCTTCACCTGTCAACTTACTGCCACTCATTCGTCCTAATATTGTTGTCTTTTTTTCTTTCCTATAAAACTATATTTAAATAAATAAATAAATAAATATATCAGTGAGGTGAGGTTCATGGCTGGTGAGGCACTGACTTCATCAGAATCTGATTTACAAATGTATGCACTTTACAGAGTAGCTTATTTGCCATTTGATTGGCAGCAGTTTATGGGTTATGTTTCATATCTGCATTCTTTATACATACAAGCTGTAGCCCACAAAACGCATGTTTCTTTTTTTTTTTTCTTTTTTTTTTAAGTTGTTGCAGTCTTATCTTTACCTTTAAATGGAGTTCATGCTCCGCTCCTTCTGGGCAAAAATATCTATATTATATTACTTTTTTGTAAAAGTCTGCTGATCTTCCTTCAGATTTGCTAACTGTAGCTTGCTGTCACTTACTCTGCAGTCACAAGAAGCATGTCTGGGATCAGAGCGCCCCCTGCCATGAGGCAAAGAGAACTGTGTGCCTCACCTGGAACCTCTTCTCAGCTGTTTTATGATCGCTCAGCACACGAAACACGTTACACACATACAGTTGGTAACAAAAACACTGAACATTATTATATACATCAGCTGAACTATGGAAAATCAGTTCATATATTAAATGTGTTTGAACCATGTTATTGGCGACATACAGACAGCAGTACGCTGTCACTGCAGGCAGCCAGCGGAGGTAGTGAGGGATTGCGCAATCCAAGTGCGGCTGAGCTCACTGCTGCCTCACTTGGATTGCACAATCCCTCACTTCGCTGGCTGCCATGCAGTGACAGCCTAGGCAACCTAGCTCACCGCTGCCTCACCGGCTTCTCTTCCAAGCATTTCAATGGGAAATTGCAAAATTCTGCGATTTTGAATTTAAAAAACATCAAAACTGACGAGGCTAAATGAAAAAATAAATACTTTATAGTTCAAATCACTGGATAAATATAACCATTTAAATTATTTTAGCATTATATTTTTTTTTTCTTTCCGTGATGTCAGGTGAAGCTCTGCCTCACCTGCCACCCCTGACCGCACATCACTGACATATATATATATATATATATATTGAACTAACATAGCATCTCATGGGAGCATCAACAATGCTTTACTATAAACTGTTATCCAAGTATTTACATATATGCATTCAAAATGAGCACATTCTACATCCATTCTTCCAAAAAAGATCCTGAACACTTTAACAACACATAAAATATTATGTAATCTCAGTTTACTTCAACAAAGATTTCTCTTTTTTTTCTTTTTTTTTTTCATTGCAGGTCACTCATTACCAAAATTATTTCATAAAGGCTATTCTTAAACTCTTTAAATTTCTTGTAATTATTGCTATAGTGTTAGTACAGAGTAGTAGATAGCAGTCTATGCTAGCCCACTGACAGTTTGGTAGACATGAGTGGAACCAAGATGTGGACCCAGTGTTCTGCTTGCTTTACAAACATGGTTGGTCAGTGGTTTGCAGCTAAGTGTGAAGTAGCTGGGATGAGAGTCAGCACCTTCATTTCCAAGGCTGTGTTTGCTGGAACGCACCGTGTTGCTAGTTCCAGGTTCTGCCTCCAGTCCTGTTGCTGCCCCAAGAGAAAGACCTTCACTTGTTCACAAGGTTGCAGTGAAAGATCAGTAGGAACAGTGTTAGCTGGAATAAGGGATAGTGCCAGACTGATGTAGTGCCAAAGGATCTGAGCCTTGAGGTTAAGTGCTCATGTTGTTGTTCCACAATCCTGTCCTCAGCCGTGGTCATGAGGTTTTGGAAACAACGAGACTGTAGACACAAGTAGATAAAATGGGTTTCCTTATAAAAGATGGACTTAAATTTGGGCCATTTTGATGATAACAAATGGAGTTTAAATAGCCAATACTTGGCAGATAGCATTAAAAGTATGTTTAAAGAATATTAAAACCCCATTTTTTAATTTTTTTCCTCTCTCTCTTTTTTTTTTTTTTTCTTTTTTAAGCAATTCAAGGAAGTGATGTAAGAAAAAGCAAATCTGGGCACATAACTAACCATTTAATATAAGCCAAACTAATAAGGTAAGGGAGAGAGAGAAACGCTAACTAAATACAACATAAAAACCAATAAAAGAGTAGTACATTTTATGCTAATGATTTTAGGAATACTTTCATTCTTTTATGTCTTTTTTTTTTTTTTTTTTTTTTAAATATGTGTTAATTCTTCCATAATTGTTGATAAGATTTAATTTATTGTATGATCTTCTGCCTATTGCAAAATGTTAGTATTGCCAACAGTCTACCAGTTTTCAAACATCACTTCAGTGCAAGTCAGAATTATTAATAGCAAAACATTGAGAACATTTGCTACTGTATAATTACAAATGCAGTTTAAAGGCCTGAATGTGTCTAAAAGCAGAGTTCCATTTTGTTAGATTGCAAATTTCTAAAACAAACAAAAGGAAGATCTCAGGTCAGTACATTATCACAACCAAGTCACTGCCAAGACATGTTTTACAGTATTTTCATTAACATTTGCTCCGCTATGTTTTGTCCTTGCAAACATACCTTTTGGATTTAAGCATCTGTTCCTACCAGCTTTGAGAAAACCATGCCTGGTCTACCAGCACACACCATGTATAAATATTGGCATTTTGAGCTAATGAAGATTGTGTTTGATTACACCTCTGCTGAGCCTCATGTGGTAACTCTTACTGAGCAGAGCAGAGCATGGAACCCATTTCAGCCACTGGTTGTCTTCAAGTAATAACACTCTAACCTGGGAGTGATTTTCTTGCAGGGGCTGGCTATTTCTCTCTCAGCTGGGGCTTTCCTTCTGTAACACAACAGTGTGTACAAGATTGTAACAAGTACAGTTGTGACAAGCCATTTTACTGCCCCATTGTTTGCTGGAAGTCTCCACCATCCAACACCTTTCTACATAGAGAAAGATGGTTGTTGCTGTCCTTGTGTTCATGTTTTTCTAATAGCAGCCATGTAGTCTGCAGTAGTGTACACATCTTTGTCTGCTTCACTTTATCAGCACTATCAGCACTATGGCAATTTTTGCACTCTCTTACTCCTTTTCCACCAAGAAGAACCAGGTGCCAGTTCCATGCCGGTGCTAGGGCCAGTGCTTAGTTGGTTCCAATTTGGTACCTCCAGAAGAACCAGTTGCTTTTCCATCAGCAAGGAGCCAAAATAGAGCCATGCCATACATCACTGCATACATAGCTGTTGAGCGAACAACGCTCATGCCAGACAGAAGTCCACACAGGACTTCAGACTTTTTTTTTTTTTTTACCTGTGCGACCAAGTTTCTGATTTGGTTCACTTCCCACCTTGTCACAGGAAAAACATGACTTGCTGAACTTTTTTCTTATTGATAGACTGTACAATTTATGAGGTCCCTGAAAGCCCCACATTGCAGGCTGTGGTAGCTGCTGTTGGTGGCTGCGATGCTCAGACGGGTGTGCGACCAAAATTGAAATTTTAAAAAAGTAAACTTGGGCATTCTAATGTCAGATTTGTTCAAGATAAAACTCAGTGATTTTTTCTCGTGTGGTCTTTTCTATGAGCGAACTAAACAGCGCATGTAGGTGCGCTCCGTTTTTCACTAGAAGACCTCATTTCTAAGCGCAAGTACCACAGTACATCGACGTTATAAAAGTACTGTTTTCCATCACTGTGCTGCTACTGGTGGGACACAATTGTACCAGCTTTCAGTATGCAACAGTGTGTGCAGCACTTCCGTGTGTCCCAGGACTCATTCCAGTACATCTGTGATCGGACCAGAGACATCTTGGTGAAAAACGACACAAATCACCGCTTGTGTGTCCCATTCATCGGTCTCGGTGGGCACAATAACCCCGCCCCCGGCCCCTGACGTACTCTGTGTTTTTCTCTGGCCCAGAAAAGAGATGGTGCCTGAAAAGCACTAGTTTTGAGAGCCTGAAGCCAGTGCTTTGGCGGTGGAAACAAAGAACTGGTACTAAGTCAGGCACCGGCTCCGAACCAGCTCTGGAACCAGTTTGGTGGACAAGGGGTATCTGGGTTACATCAACAGTTAAGGACAAACCCAGCTTTCGTTTATTTGTCAATTGCCAGTGTCCAGTTTTTGCTGTCATGCCAGTATGTCAAATATCATGCCATTGCTTATTATCATAGTTTTTTGCATTACTTGATCAATATTGTAGTTCATAATTTGAAGTAGGACACTTAATTTGACTAATAATTGAATAACAGATAGGTAACAGGATACTTGGTGGTGTATATGACCAACCATCAGTGTTAAGATTTAGGCAGGAGAATTCCACTTCCAGTAAGTGTCTTCTTGTACTCCCTTTCTGTATTGTATCATCACTTAGCACACCTAATATGTCAGTATGTTTCTCTTCTTGACCCTTATGTCGAACGGTAGGACTTATTTTCACATTAAATCATTGTGTTGTTTTGGGGTCTTTTTGTTTTTTTTTAACTAGTGTTCTCTGTGCTCTGTGTTGTATAGTTATTACAGCCTAGAAGACATCAGCCATGAGTCCATTAACAAATATCTGTCTAACTTGGTGGAGAGAAGCCTACGAGACCTTGAGTGTTCCTACTGCATAGAGATAAAAGAGGTATGTGTTCTAAGTTTGTAGTCTACATAATGTTACAAATTTGTTTAACATGGTGTCAAGTTTTCATTTCCATTCATACTCCAGGATGATCGAACGATTGAGCCGCTGACTTATGGTCGCATCGCCTCCTACTACTACCTGAAGCATCAGACCATCCGCACATTCAAAGAGCAACTGAGAGCTGAGCTGTCCGTCCACGAGCTGCTGTCTGTTCTCACGGTGAGTTTAACGCTGTGAGTTTAACATGCAGCTGCTGCAGTTCTCTCATCATTTACTGTGTTCATATAGTGAAGACCATAACT